AGATCAGCGATTAATCTGATAAGCACGATAGACTTGGGTAGTGATCCTGAAATTAGTCGTTTTTTTAAAGGAGTCTTTAAAAACAGACCACCGAAGCCTAAATATGACACCACCTGGAACACAGAGGCAGTTCTAAACTGGGCAGAAGCACTGGGACCGCTGAAAGTCCTGGACCTAAAATCTCTCACCTTTAAGTTGGTATCTTTACTAGCCTTAGCTACAGCCCATTGGGTTCAGACATTGTCCCTAATCAAAATAAGTGACAGGACAGTTTCGAAGAGCAAGGTGATCATAAAGATATCGGAGCAAATTAAAACATCTAGAGTCGGAGTTGCACAACCCTCGTTCAGTCTACCATTTTTTAAAGAGCGGAAGGGGCGCTTGCGTCGCCAGGGTGTTGTTGAAATACGTAAAAAGAACCAAAGTTCTAGGCGGGAATGAAGACTACCTGTTTATTACATTTAAAAGGCCCTACCATAGGGCAACTGCGCAATCAATAAGCCGCTGGATAAGGTACTGTCTCGTGGAAGCCGGAATAGATCCCAGATACACTGGTCACAGCACGAGACACGCAGCCACGTCTGCTGCAGAGGCGAGAGGTTTAGACGTAAACATCATAAAGAGTACAGCTGGATGGTCAGCCAGCTCACAGGTGTTCGCAAAGTTCTACAAACGCCCGATAGAACCAAGAAAAGAATCGTTTGTAGAGGTGTTATTCAATCAACAGGGTGAATAAGTCTAAAATAAGTCTAAGTAAGTCTTAAATTGAGTTTAGCTTGAATAATGTTATTATGGCATTAAGCTCTGTAACAGGTATTAAGGAAGGACTAAGTTGGTTTGCTCTAAACATCTACGATGTAATCTCGAAGAACGAGACTCGTAATATAATTAAAAATCAAACGAACTTACCTTAAGTGATGTTCGATTGTAATTATATAAGAGTCTCGTTCGAGATGATTACAGCCCTCCCAAAAACTTTTATCCTGAAAAATTTTTTCCCCACCCCTAAAGTGGAGAGTTTGGTTACAGCTTAAGTCCATAATTTTGGAATGAGCTTTAAACTGTATGACGATTAGCCGCTAGGGTGCGGCGTAGGAGCAGGCGGCGGGAAGCCGAAATTTTAAATTTATTCTCTAAAGCTTGTGGTTGGATCTAGTCAAAGTAGCGGTACTACGATGTAATCATCTCGAACGAGACTCTTATATAATTACAATCGAACATCACTTAAGGTAAGTTCGTTTGATTTTTAATTTTTGTTACAACTTTTGATAACATTAGTTAATTTGTCACTGCGTTTTGCATTGATGGTAGACCACATAGCTTGTGTTTTATTGTGGGCCTGTTTTATGTAGTTTTCGTTAGCAGTGATTTTGGCCTCACGAATTGCGTCCCGTTATAGATTACGATATAAATTTCTAGCTGCCTTAATGTCAGTGCATTTAGTCAGAGAAAATAGGTCGTTTAATTTTAGCAGGTTATTGTTCATGTTTTTGAGTCGATAATAGCGCACTGATTTATAATGAGATGCCTTAACGAATTTTTCAAGGAAACATAGAAAGACATTGTGTTGTATCACATTAAGGAGTTCTTGAAAACTTTTGTTTGCGTCAGAATAGTTATTTGTGATGACGTTCCAATCAACTAGCTCCGGGGATTTGTAAAGACAGAATTTTCCAAATTCGGTAATGGGTCGTGAAATAACAATCTTCTCCGTCGATTGATTGACAGGAAAATCAATCACAAGCCATATTCCTCGATGGTCAGAAATACCTAGATCTATAGGACTAACACGGAGATAAAATTCTTGTATGTTTGTGAAAACATTGTCCAGGCAATTTGCCCCTCTGGTGTTAAAATTGACGATGGGTTTAAGACCGTAACTTAGGAGTAGGTCTAGCAAGGCAGTTTTTTTTGCATCATTGGAGTTGAAAATGACGTTTAGATCACCCCCAAGAATTATGTTTTTTTTGACATCTAAGCAATTTAAAAGTTTTGCTATGATACGTAGGAACTCATCAAAGTCGCCTGATGGAGGACGGTATAGAGATACAACCGTTAGGTACACGTTAGGTACACGTATAGCGGATATTTCACATATTTTACTGGAAGATAGGGCTACTAACTTGGGTATGCTGTCGGCAATAAGTTCTTCATGGGTAAAAATAATGGATCCACCATATTCTTTACCTCCTCTTGAGAAGTAAGATTTTGCAGAATATCTTTCCACTGATACAACGTTGCACTCGGGATCTGATAGCCAATGTTCGGTGAGGCATATAATAGAAGGTGACAAATTTTGATCTTCAAGAAAAGCTTCCAGTTCTTCTGTTTTATTTCTCAAGGACTGGACATTTTGGTACAAGATTACTATTTTTTGCAGAGGCAAGATCTCTGTTTTTATTCGCTTTGTAATTTACATACACTTTTCTAAAAAAGCATTGTTGTCGTTAAATTCGTTATGACCACCTTTTTTGTTGATGGATTGTTGCTTTGGAAAATAGTAACGATTTAGCACAATACCCTTTGGCCAAAAGTTTTCGTTCAGTACCTTATCTTTGTTTGGAAAAGATATCATAATTTTAAATGACGCCGTGCTGTTTTTACTTTTAAGATCCAGTTTTACAACTTCGGATTCACATACACTGCTGACATGCTTCTTTATGTCCTCCGCCGTAGTATTTGGATCAAAACGAGTGGCAAACAAGAAGGCCTTCTTTTCAACTGCTCTAAGGGGAATGGTGGTTTGTGCATCTCCTTTACCAATCACAAGATGTCGCCTTTTGTTTTTATTATAGCGAATTTCAGTGAAAACTTCGTCTTCCTTAGGTTTATTATCGATATCTTCGATGCTTTTAACTTTAGTCACCTTTGACGGTTCTTTATTGGGAAGATTGATGATCGATTTCATTAAATTTAATTGATCTCTTTCAAGTGCTATTAAGTTGGATTCATTGCTCAAAGGTGGTTTTTGGTGCTTTTCATTACTGACGATGTCTTTCAGTTTCGCTTTCTGATTATCACTTTCTTTCGAGTGAGATTTTTTTTTGTTATTTATTTTATCTTGTCTTTCCTCGCCCTTCTTTATGTTAAAATTATCTGATATAATGATTTGCTCAGTTTTCTTTGCTGCGCCGGTAGCGGCGGGTCCATTACTCATGCTCACTGGAGATTTTACATTCCAGTCCCTTTAATTTCAGCCTGATGTCTTTCAGTTCCGTAAAAAGAATTTTAAAATTGTCATTTATTTCCATTTTCATCTGAAGCAGTAATTCAGATACCGATGTACTGTCGTCATTTACTGTGGCATTATTTAATGTGGGTGCCGATGCCGGTATACTACAGTGGAACATATTGACTTTTTCTTGTAGCACAGTGACTTGATTTTGTAAATCCCTGTTTAGGTCTTTGAGTACACTATTTTCAAAACTTACAGACTTATTGATTACTGAGTTATTTAGCTCATCGTCCGAATCTTCTTCATAGGTGAAACTAAGTTGATAATTTTTGTCGAGGTTGTCATACCGTTGTTTTTCTTCTGTTGTCATAGGTTGTTCACAGCAGTTTTTTCTGTTTTTTTCTGCACAACTTGGATGAAAGTATGACCCACAGTTTGCACATAGGACCCTTTTTTTTACAGCAGGGTTACTGCAGCAACAGCACAGAGGTTTCTCGCGCGTTTCACCCATTCTTAAGCACACACTGAACCGCGTAAATCATTAATCAAATTTTTTTCGTTTATGGCCTCTTAAAAGACGATCACGTTATTTTATAATTTTGTAGAACAAATGTTTCTCAAATTTAATAGAACTAAGTACTCCATGTATGGTGTAATTTAGAATTCGTGGTGAGTTTTTACCCTAGATATCGAGATTATTGGAAAATAAATCAAAATTATTTTTTACAATTTAACTTGAAAATTGCAAATGCGAATGTACTGATATATTGCAAACGTTTTAAGGTTACAGGAATGATGATAAATCGTTATTCAAAATTTGTTCGTTTAAGGCCTTACTAACAAATTATAACGTCATCTTAGAATTCCGCCGAACAAATGTTGTTTAAATTTTATAAAATAATATATTGCTGCATGTGTGATTTATGAGTCCGTGTTGAATTTTTACCCTTAGCATCCAGACTAAAAAAAATTAACACTGTGTCACAATATTATACAATGTAACTTTGAATTTGCAAAATCCGAATGCTGTGAAATCCTGCAAAAATTTTAAGATGATTTGAAAGATGGTAAATCGTCATCTTACATTTCTGCCTAATTTCTTCAAATTAATGAGTCTTTTTGAAAAAAAAAAAACTGAATATGAGGACACAAAATCAACCGAATTTCATTTTCTTTTAATTGTTGATGTTAGTGCTAGTAGTCGAATTCGGTCGAAGTATAAACATAAACAGTCGAAGTTAAGAACATACTGATAGTTATCTGCTTTAAATATATCTCATACTCTATAGAACAGTTATCACAAAACGAAAATCCCAAAATCTAATTTTTATAATTTTTTAACGAAGCGGAATTTATCGGACCATACTTCAAAGGCGAGGGAAGTTCTGTCAAAATAACCTTTTTTTTCCTGGCTTTGTTTTTCTTAGTAGCGTCGTCAAAATTCCATAAACAATATAATTATAGTAGTAATGATAATACCCAAACAACATCTGTATACAATACCACAGGGCCCCACTTTGTAAATTTCCCGGTAGACCCCCATGTCCTCAATCCGACACTGTACTAATAGTTCATTTTTGGCATTTAAACTGACCTATCAATCTCCATATCGAGAGAAAGGAGCTTGAAAATTTGCGGTTAGTTTCATACCTTCGTGGACTCGAAAAACGGAAAGGTTTAATATTTTCTTCTTGCGTCTTAAATTTGTTTTCATTGTTTCAAATTGTTGATAAAGTATGACGTAATTTAATCTAATGTATACACGGTTTCTAGTTAAAGTTTTGTCATTGCATAAATAGATGTTGAAAGTGAGACTTCATGGAGAATCAACAGTTTTATTTTTAAAATTATCTCTAACAATAACACATTTCATATTTATTAATTTTTAACGAGTTTATATTTAGACATACTCGAGCTCAAACAGCTGATTATCTGTCAACCATTTAGTAAAAACATCAACAGGAGTGCCTGCTTGAAATCTTGATTCATAAATATCAACAACAAACTTCGTATCTCCACTGACTATAGTTTTGTCAGATTCGATGCGCCACTGTTGGTTAGGGCCACCATGTTTTTGCGAATACGTAATGACTTTGTTTCCTGCAGCGGCTCCACCATTTATGTCGAGTACGTACCTGAAGTACACGCAAGTAAAAAATGCAAAAATCTTACGTAAGAAAGCGCCAAAATAAAAACTTACCCAGTCCCGACATTGGTAATTATGAATTTTCCACCATCGATGCATTCCATTTTCCAGAGTTGCAAAGAACTACCACTGTATGTCTGGATTGTAACCTGGGCGCTGGTACCGCTTACGGTACCATCTAGCACAAGTCTGGATTTGACGTTTCTTATAATAAAGGCTTTGTTGTGTTGAATGCAACTCATTTTGACAAAGTGAATAGGTGGTGATGGAAGCGAACTTGAAATTTATATAGAGTTACTTTATCTCAACGAGTTCTATTTTGGGTAAAGTGCAGTTGCATGTTTAACATCGAAAGATTAGATTTCTTTGTTCGATGTTATCAATATCATTTTTCTGTAAATGGAATTTTAAATTATTGCACAAACGTTGTTCAATACTATTATTAAATAAAAGTATTCCGACTCTTTGGAAGATTCTTCCTCTACATACTTGAATAAAAATCTTTGATCGTCCATTTTATAAATATCGTAGAGTACTATAGTGTAGCCTGGGATTGAACGCCTGCTACGAACATCTGCTTCACCACTGACGATGGTGTTATCAAAATTCATACCATTGTTGGTGCTTTTCACCATGTTTTTCAAAAGTGATTTTGTAATGGAAAAACTCACTTTATTTCAATTTATAAAATTGCAAATCGAGAAACTGAAGAAACAAAAAAAATTGAAAATTGAAAAATTGAAAAACTCAAGTCAAAAATCCGTGGGAGTGTTATTTACTTTATAGAGGTTATCAGAAAACAAAATTCACAAACATTTTTTATAATCTGCTGGTATATTGTCGTTTAGGATTTACTTACACATTTACTGCAATATTTAACTTTAAATTTAACACTGAATCATATTAAATAACGATCGCAAATAAAATGTAAGAAATAAGGTCTGCTAACACTTTCGCACTCTCCGAAAACAAGTGGTGTTGTCGCGGCTGAAGGAGTTTAGTGCATACTTTGTATAGACTTTCTTCTGATGTCTATTGTTTTGTTGTAACTGAAAGTAGAAAAAGCAGAAGAACACAAGGAATATTTTTCTGTCAGATATGTATTTACTAAATATGTGTTAATCTGTAGCTAAGATAAGTAAAGTTTAAAAATTCTTCAGTTGAATGGGGAATCTCTGATTAGCTTTTCCATGTTTAGGATACAATTTCAGCTTGTTACACATATTTACGTCAAGTGCTAGGTTTGTACCGGCGTTGGTGATAGTTCCATCAGGGTTGATATTCCAGAACTGACTTGTACTTTCACCTTTACGGCTGATGGTGATCCAGTTATTTGTTTTGGCTCCACCTTCTACATCTAAAACTTTTCTACACCAAGAACTTTAAAATATATCTTGTCTAAGTGGTATAGAACTTACCGGTTACTGACATTTACAATTATTTTTCCATATAGTGTACTTTGTACCAACCAGATTTGTGCAGAAGACGAAGAATTGTACCGTTCTAAGAAGACCGAATCTGAACTTGCGGTGAGCACCATATCATTTTTTTCACTTCTGATAACGATAGAATCTTCTTGCGTCGTCTGATGGAGTACGTTTGCACTTGCGGTCGCCATGATACTGAACTATCTAATGTCGTTAAGGAAAAAGATAACGATAAATGGTTCTGTTAATCCCCTATTTTTAAGTAGAACTACGAAGAAAGTGTACACAATCTTGGTTGACGTGAAGTAAAGCTATCTATCAATAAATTTTTATAATACGAATGGCAAAGATAATTTGATTTGACGGATAACATAGATTGTACACGATCTTTGTACCGTCGTTGATCATAAAAGACTAATACAAATTTGAACAGGCTCTAGATATATATCTAGTAATTTATGCTGCAAAATTGATCTCGAGTGGCGTTTGTCAAATAAGGTTGTGTTATCTAAAGTAATTAAACGGTTTTGCATATAAAATAGAATTGGAAAATATTTAATTTGTGTTGGCATGAGGTAGAATTTTTAAAACTGTAAGTACATGAGTTCATCAGGTACGACTAGGGGATTTTGCACGTAGATGTCACGAAATAAAATTGTGTTTAAGTAGACAAATCTTTTCTTTGGTCATTTTGAATGATAGTTCGTATCCTGATCCACAATGACAAAATTTTGCTTGTCTCAGTTTTTTATGATCAGCGATGGTACCATTATCAGTACTGTAAGTGGGCACTTATTGAACGTGCAAGTTTTTTGATTTACTTTTTCCACCGAAACTGGAGAACTGTACGAAAGATGTATTTGTTCCTTACAGAAAATGTTTCAAGTAAAAAAAACTTTATTTAACTGATCTACACTGAAAGACTATTGATATTGGAGATGGAACTTTTGGTTAGCTTGCCCATGTCTCCTAAATGCTATTATGTTATTCCCTGGGTAGTAATTTCCGCCACAGATGTCAATCGCCAAATTTCCTTCAGCACTGACAATTGTATTATCGGAATTCATAAACCATTGCTGATTTACTCCACCATGTTTATAATAAGTGATCACCTTGTTGCCGTTTTTGATTCCTCCTTCTATGTCTAGTACTTTTCTGTAACAATAAAAATTAGTACCATCATAGTGCATAACTTACGGATGTATACTTACCCATTGCCCCTATTCATAATATAGAATGTTCCGGGTGCTGCATTTTCCAGTTTCCATAGCTGTGCTGGAAATCCGGTGAAGTGCTGGATTTTTAACGCATAGTCACTTGCATCTAAAACCAAGCCACTTCTTTGGTTTCTAATAACGAAGTAGTTGTGACTGCGATGACAGGGATTCATGATGGCGGTAGATGTAGTATTGTAATAAAGGTATGAAGATCAAGAGAAGAGTATTTATGTTAAAGATAAGATAAGTACTATTCTAGAAGTTGTTAATTTTGTTGTAGTTTCAATTTGTTTTAGAGAAAATTTCCCGTGAGTAATTCTATCTTTATTTGTTTTACTCTGAACAATAAATAAACATATCTTTAATAGTGTGTTGATCTTTATTCATTTACATGGTTTTATATAAATAAATCGGAAATTAAAATTTTATTCATGCATATATGCAAGTACTCTTAGTTGTGAGTTTGTGTGGTTTAGTAGTAGGTATTTCAAATTGCCACTTACTTCCAAAAATTTTTGGTATTGGAGAGAATAAAATAGTCACTATAGATATGAAATTTTACTAGTCGATAAAATTTAAATTAACCAAAAACAGTACCTAACTAAAAAATATATACAGGCGAAGATGATTTTGACCGTAGAGTTGAATTTACCGAAATTATTATGAATGAAATACAACAAAACGGAAATTGTATGACGAATCTACATTTTCTCCACCTCACTTTGGACGTCAAATGCGACAGTACTTAAATTAAATTTTTTTGGCAGATGAATAGGCCGAATGAGTACTATTGAGTAGCCTACGAGGTCACCGGATTTGACACCACTTGACTTTTTTTTGTGGGACGTTTATATCAATAGACCGATTCACATTGAAGACTTTCAGGAACGCATACCTACCGAAATTGCTAGCATTCGTCCAGACATTCTCATTAACTCACTACAAAATTTTATTCAGCGTCTTTTTACTGTCAGGAAGTAAACGGAGAGCACTTTGAGCATCTTTTGTAGAAAACAGAAGTTTAATTTTGGTTTCGGTTGTTATTGGTTAATTTATTAATTGTTTAACATTAATTAAAATTAATAATAATTATGAACTTATTTAATATGTTTAATAATTTATTTTGACATTTCATTCAGAAAGAAAGTACGATTATGCTATATTAGTGAATTCAGGAAAACAACTCTATTCAAAAATGCATTCATGCCATTTAAAAAAAATCAAGTTGGTCTTGCATTTCGAAAACAAATGAAACAAAAACACTTTTTTTGACGATTAATTAGAGCAAAACTTTTTGTGCTCCTATACCTAATTTCAGTTGATTCGTACAATTGGTTCTCAAAATACTGTTACGAAAGAAGTTTATTGTGGTATGTAAGGCGGTGATGACTCATCGGCCGGGCGGCGCGGCGTTCGCTGACGAAAAGCTTGGAAGCGGAAGTGGCGATGGACAACTCAGAAAACCTTCGAAGCGGCGTTTTCGAACCATCCGTCGGGGACGATTATTATTCAGTCAGCAAGTCGAGTCCATGCATTCTAGCGACCTTGTATGTTCACAAACTTTATTTTAAATATAATCTAACTTACAATAAAGGACGGACACAAATTGATGATGGACTATTGCATTGTTGGTCCAAGCAATTATGTTTTTTTTCTGCCTTATACACGCAACGAAAATGTTTAATTTTCCCGTTAGTCACTAGGGACTAACAAGGTGAACAATAAACAATGTGTAAAGACAGTGATAAACAAAAATTCAAGTCATAAAATATGTTCTGGGTATTCATGTAGAAATTGTGCAAATTCTACAGTGCAAATAGATAAGTTGAAATATATAGCATTTATATTTATGTATATATAATAAACTGACTGCGAAAACATACCGCCTTCTGATAAATTTATATTTGTCTACTGTTCACACCGCTTACGTTTAATTTAAAAGTGACCTTAGTTTGTCGTAATCACACGGGAGAAATTTGAAAATAAATTAAAAGTGACATATATTGTTCGAAAAACCGAAAATCCCAAACCCCACTGACATTGTGCATAAGTACATCTATAAGTATAGTAAAAAAGTACCATAAAACTGTTTCCCATAATCACCAATGGTTTTTTTTTTAAATGTTATTGTACTGTAGCGGTTTTCTGATTCTTGACAGTTGTAACTAGACAAAGTTATAATATTAAGTTTACACCAAGATTGTTGTAAAGATTGTTAAACGCTGTCTGGGATTTGCTCATTCACCCTTCAGAAAAATCGCTGACGTCATTTCAAATATTGTAAAATAGGGGGTTATTCAGTTCACGAACCATTAAGACAAGCATGATTTTGTCCTCCATAGAATGAAATGTTTATTTAAAAATTTATACTTATCCTGTCAGCCGTTTTCGGCTAAACATTTCGTTATAAAATTTGTTCACACAAAATACTCATTACACCTACACTTAAAACAATTATTCATATTGGAGATGAAACTTTTGATTGGGTCCTCCGTGCTTGTTGTAAGCTATTATGGTATTTCCAGCGAAATAACTGCTTTGACAAATATTAATCGCCCAGTCTCCAACAGCACTGACGATGGTTCCGTCAGAATTTATGAACCACTGCTGAGTGATACCACCATGTTTAGCATAAGTGATAAGGTTGTTCCCATTGTTGGCTTCTCCTTGTATGTCTAGTGCTTGTCTATAAATTTTAAAATTGGGTTACAACGTACAACTTTTAAAACTACTCACCCATTGCCTTTATTCACAATAAAAAATGTCCCAAGACCTGCACTTTCCAATTTCCATAGTTGTGGCGGAAATCCCATGAAGTACTGAAGTTTCACCAGATATTCGCTGGCATCTAAAACTAATCCGCTTTTTTGATTTCTAATTACTAAATATCTGTCTGTTTGGCAGTAACTCATGATGGCAACACTAATGTTGAGGTATGTTTAGAAAGACGAAAAGCGACTTTATACGACAGATAAGACAGCCACACTGTGTGAGCAAAAATATATGATAATTTTTTCAGTGCTTTCGTAGAGATAATAATATTGCCCATACGGTTTTTGTGCCACAATTCAATTAGTGGATTTATTTCAGTCACTATATATGTATACATAGAGATCATAAATAAATCTCTCTTCTGTTTCTACCAGAAAGTTGATGACATCACCACAACAATATTTGATATATAGGTACTTAGTACCCCTATCTTATCTTATCTTTAAAATCAAGGAGGTTAATTTTAAGCAAAATATAAAATATAGGTACTACCTAATCGCCGTTATGCATTTCTTTTTAGTAGATAACCAGATGCTATTAAATGATTAAGCGAAATTTATAAAATATTCTGTGTATTAAGGAAAATTGTCCCTAAGTACCTTAAAGAGTGAAAGTTTTCCTGGGTGTATTTAATTGTGACATTTTGCATCTACAAACAAACCAAACCTCGGTACATTATCGTCTTTAACAATATTTTTAATGCTTATCAAGATTTATAAATAAGTATTATTCAGTGATAAAAAAATCAAAAGTTATATGTAGTTGGATGTCTACGGATTAATAAAAAAATCTCCACTGTTTATTTTATTGTATTGTTCATTTTTGCAAATTAATCAACAATTACATCTTGAAAAACTATTGATATTCAAAATGGAACTTCTGGTTAACTCCCCCATGTCTCGTAAATGCTATTATTACAGATGAATTTGAAGTTTCTGATGTTACGTATGATCATGCGGCTTGGGACTATAAACAATGCACGTTATTTAGAAAAACCATGGATAAAATCAAGTGCGACATTTTCGGCTCCGCCATATAGCAATCATTGGAGGATCCCACTTTATTAGGTACCGTTTCAACTAAGGAGTGTTCATTTTATTAAACGGACACCTTTAAAGTAACGCCACTTTTCTAATTTTTAATCTAAATTATTCCAGTTTTTATATATGAAAGCTTTAAGTTGTATCTATTAAATGCCATTTTTGTTTTCAAAATAACGTTATTTCTTTTTAAAATGAAGCGAATCGCTATTGGGGCAAGAAAATTATCTTTGCAAAAGTGATGCTACGAAAAATTTCCGTTGGGGGGACTGCCTAAAATAACTAAATGTTCAAAATCAGCAGTGTTCCAAATAATCAAAAAGTTTGGGGAGTTTAATACTTTAGAAGATTTGCTCAAATCCAGACCGAGAAAAGGCCCGCTTAACGAAAATATTGAGGAAAACATCATTAAACTGCTAAAATTAACGAAATGTATGTCTGTGCGGGAAATACCGAAGAAGCAAGGTGTTACCGTAGGTACTGTACAAAATATAAAGACTCGGAATAACATTAGAACGTATTAAAGCAAAAAATCCCAAAAAGAAGCGAAAAGCAGTGCACAAAGTTTAAAAAAAAAAGCAGGAAGTTATAAACAATTTTGGTCAGGAACAAAAATCGTTGTGTTTTGATGGACAACGAAACGAAGGTTAAAATGGACTGCAATACACTACCCGGCTCCCAGTTTTATAATGCAGTCGTAGGGGAAGATGTCCTCGATGACATGAAAACAAAAAAAATTGAAAAGTTTGGGAAAAAAGTCTTAGTGTGGCAACCGATTTGTTCTTGTGTGCTAAAAAGTTTTAGTTTTTTTTTACGATTGGAACAATTCGGGGCGATGATTACAGGAAAGAATGTATAAAAACGCGATTATCGTCTGTTTATTGCAAACATCATAACCCTCCATTGTTTTGGCCAGATTTGGCTTCGATTCACTACGCTGGTGCCACTCAGGAGCTTCTTAATGCCAATAATGTACAGTTTTTAAAAAAGGAAGATAAACCACCCAACTGTCCTGAGCTTCGTCCACTTGAGCGATAATGAGCAAATATGAAATCAGTGTGAAGAAAAGATGGCCGAACAACATCATGAGTTGGAGAATTTAAAAAAATGTGACCTCCTGCTATGAAGAAAATCACAAACAAACCTGTGCAAACAGTGATTCGCGGTATTCGCGCAATAGTTAGAAAATTTTATAATTTCTGAATATAATTCATTAGAGAATAGGAATAATTATTTCATTTAACATTTTTAAACATTTTTATAAGAAAAAAAATTAAATCAGCCCAAAGTACTCGAATTAGTAGCAATTTTTCAGTGTCCGCTTTATAAAATGAACATTCCTTAATAATAATTCTACTGCTTCAATCACTTTACTATCTTCGTTATCAATCTATTACCAAAATGCTCGAGGTATAAACTCAAAACTAGTCGAACTTTTCAATTCTTTACTAACTTGTAATTTTGAGCTCATAATTCTCACTGAAACGTGGCTTACTGATTCTGTGGCTAATTCAGAATTTTGTCCTGACAATTTTGAGATATACAGATCTGATCGTAAATTTAATAAAACTACTCTTACCAGAGGTGGTGGGGTTCTGATAGCAATGCGCAAATATTTCTCTGTTTTGCAGATTGATCTGTCCCCGCATGGTTTTGATGAGTTGCATTTAATTGACATTGTGGGGGTAAAACTTACATATAGATATGTCTCTTTCTACATTTTGGTAATTTATGTTCCGCCCAAGTCATCTGTTGATGATTATATCTCATTATTTAATTTGCTCGGTAATCTTGCTGATTTATGGAATGATCGTGTGGTTATCATAGGTGACTTTAACATTGCTGAATATCATATTGGTTTAGAGAACAGTATTGTTGGTAATAACAAGTTGTCTGCCCTAAGCACTTTTTTAAATCTTAATAACTATTGTCAGTTTAATACTATTATGAACACTAATGGCAGACTTTTAGATTTGATTCTTTCTAACTATGAGTGCTCTGTTAATGGTTGTCATGATTATCTTTTGCCAGAAGACAGTCATCATCCTTCTCTGGTAATTACCATAGGTACTCATCAAGGAAAAAGTAAGATTTTAGGTAATTCTGAAATATTAGTTAAACGGTGGAACTTTCGGAAAGCTGATTATCCCAACCTTTATCACCATCTTGGGCAAATTAATTGGTCGTTTTTAAATGGAGTTAATGATCCGAATACTGCATGTACTTTATTCTACAATAAACTTATTAACATCCTTGATATTTATGTGCCCAAGACTCGTAACATTCGTCATAGCTCCTTCCCGCCTTGGTTCACATTTGACATTATTAATAAAATCAAATTTAAATGGAAACTTTGGTCTAGGTATAAACTAAGTAAAAGTTTAGAGGATCTTTTGAATTTCAAATCTGTACGTTCCGAAATAAAACGTGATGTCAAAATTGCCTATCGTGATTACATCTGCGATTTAGAAAATAACATAAAAGCCAATCCTAATAAATTCTGGACACATATAAGCAGACTTAAAAAACAAGGGGGTATACCGTCCCAAATGAGTTATAATAACAAGGTACTCTGTAATCCTGCAGATATAGTAAATGCATTTGCAACCCATTTTAGTTCAGGTTACACTGACTGTAAAGCCACAAATTTGAATGAATTCGCATGTGAGTCTTACAATGATCTTATACATTTCAACACGATAAGTGAAGCAGATGTGTTTAAAGCGCTAAAAAAAATTAAGTGTAACTTAACGAGTGGTCACGATAATATTCCGGGTTTTTTATTATCTGATTGTGCTTCAGTGCTTTCTCATCCCTTATCAGTCATCTTTAATTTAATAATAAATTCTGCCATCTTTCCCGATATCTGGAAACATTCTATTATTTCTCCAATTTTTAAGAAAGGGAGTAGAAATACAATTGAGAATTACAGGCCCATTTCGCTAATTTGTAACTTTGCCAAAGTTTTTGAATTTGTTTTACATAAATTTTTGTTATTTAATGTTCGCAGTAAAATATCTGATTGTCAACATGGATTTGTAAGTAACCGTTCCACCATATCTAACCTCTGTGTATTCACACAGTTTGTTTCAGAAAGCTTTGATGCTATGCTTCAGGTTGACGTGGCCTATACTGATTTTTCCAAGGCCTTCGACAAACTTAATCATGATGTTTTGCTGGTTAAATTAAGTAATTTTGGGTTTTCTGCTTCATTACTTTCATTGTTTAAATCGTATTTATCCAATAGGACTCAGTGCGTTAAATATAATGGTCATGTGTCAGATAGTATTTCTGTCTTGTCTGGAGTGCCTCAGGGTTCGGTTCTTGGACCTCTTTTGTTCGTGATTTACATAAATGACATCGCAAAGAGTATTAGTTCAAACATTCTTATGTACGCGGATGATTTAAAAATTTTTAGAACTGTTTCGAGTATTAATGACTGCCGAATGTTACAAGATGATCTGCAGAAATTTCTATGTTGGAGCAATTGTAACTTTCTCCCGGTAAATTTTGACAAATGCTTTATTATGTCATTTACTAATAAAAATATCCAAACCTTGTATCCCTATGATCTCAATAACACCATTTTGACTAGAGTTGATTCTTTCTGTGATTTGGGAGTCACTTTTGATTCCAAACTCTCTTTTGTAAATCACATAAATAATATATGTGCCAATGCTCTGAAATCACTCGGTTTTATACTAAGATGTGGCAGTAGTTTTAGTGACTCTGATTGTTTGAAAATTTTATATTTTGCGTATGTGCGATCCAAGCTTGAATATGCAAGTGCTGTTTGGTCTCCATTTTCTCGGATTCATATAGACACATTGGAGAAGATTCAACGACGTTTTTTGAAATACTTAGCTTTTAGGGCGGATGGTGTTTATCCACCAAGGGGTTCGTCCCATGTTACTCTTTTAAATAAGTTTGGGTTTAGAGATTTACATTGCAGACGGACTATTGCATCGTTGAATTTTCTAAAAAAGTTGGTTCATTTTCATATTGATTGTCCGGATCTTTTGAGTCGATTATATTTTCTTGTGCCCAGATTGTCATCTCGTTCTCATGATTGCTTCTATTTGCCTACTCCTCGCTTAAACGTTGTAAAACACTCACCTATATACGAGATGTGTACTTTATACAATTCGGAACAGAATGCATTTGATATATTTAAATAAATAGGTTTTTTCTTTGTATATGCAGCTACATTCAGTTTGTTTAACTTTGCCTTCGTGGGTTCAGCTGTTGGTCATATATTTTGCTAAGGTGGTCAGTAATTGGGCTATTGCCTGTTGACCATCACTGACATAATAATAATAATAATAATAATAATAATAATAATAATAATTATTTTATTCCCTGGGGAGCACCTTGCTTCAAAGATGTCAATCGCCAAATTTTGTTCAGAACTGACGATGGTGTCATCAGAATTAACAATCCATTGTTGATTTGCTGAACCTTTTTTGGAATACGTGATGATATTGTTGCCGTTTTTGATTCCGCTTTCGATGTCTAGCACTTTTCTGCAAACGTAAAAATTAGTACTATCATAGCGTTTAACGTATGAGTGTACTTACCCATTGGCCTTATTCACAATATAGATTGTTCCGGACCCCGAACTTTCCAGTTTCCATAGCTGTGTTGGTTGGCCAGTGAAGGGCAGGATTTTTAACACAGTCTCCCTTGCATCTAAAACCAAGCCACTTCTTTCGTTTCTAATAATAGTGTAGTTCTGGCTCATGATAGCAGCAGGTAGTACAAAATAGAAATAATAAAGGTAAAGAGCAAGAAAAGAGCACTTATGCTGAAGATAAGATAAGTACTATCGTAGAAGACGTCAACTCTATTTTAGTTTCGCTTTCTTTTAGAGAAAATTTCCGGTGATTTACGAACATTTTTTTTCTGAACAATAACTAGCTTTAAAGTTGTCTTTGTAGTCAAATTTTATTTAAGTCATGAAATAGATAGAACATATGCAAAGTAGTAAGTACATGTTAACCGGTTTTCAGAATGGCGAACCTCTGATTAAGTCTTCCATGTCTAGACCACACTTTCAATTTATTCAACATTGTTACGTCAAGTGCTAAGTGTGTACCAGGACTAGTAATAGTTCCATCGGAATTAAGGTTCCAGTACTGACTTTTTCCTTCGGTTCTATCGCTGAGGGTGATCCTGTGATTCATTGAGGCTCCACCTTGGACATCTAAAACCTTTCTAAACCAAAAACTTGAATGTAGATTATGTCTAGATGATACAGAACTTACCCGTGATGAGCATTTAAAATTACTTTTCCACGTGGCGCATTTTGTAACGACCAGAGTTGTCTACTGGACGAAGGATTGTACTCTTGCAAGGAGACCGAATCTGAGCCTGCGGTGAGTACCATACCATTTTTTGCGCTTCTGATGATGACATAGAACTCATGGGTCGTGGGATAGGTAAGTGTGTTTGGAGTTGTAGTCGCCATAGTACCCACTTACTGTGTAATGATACAGATTGGACAGGATTTGTGTACCATTGTTAGTGTCCAAATTTTTTCTAGATAGCGTTGTTGGGAAATTTTTTGGTTGGTTTTTCCCAATGGAAGTCGCGTTGATTAAATGAAATGATAAAACGATAAATGTGTCAATTTATTTCAGAAAAAAGAAGATGAAATCCGTTAAGAACTGATGCAAAATTATACTCATACCCCAAAAATGTTTGATATGTAGTACCTCGCAAGATATGATGTGTTTGAAATTGAGAAGGTTCATTTTAAGCTGAATATAGAACATAGGTACCACCTAATGGTACTTATGCATTTGTTTTTAGTAGATGGTACCAAATGCTCAAATAACATTTATAAAATATTCTATGTATTAAGAAAAATTGTCCCTAAGTACCGTACAAGGAGATTTTTCTGAATGTATTTATTTGTTATCCGATATCTTGCTCAACCTAAATCGTTTTATGTGTTACAATCATTCCTAACCATAGACAAACAAATCAAGTGTCGGTACATCGTCGGTTTTCCCATTGAGGTGATTCGCTTTAAAAATATTTATAATCCTTATCAAGTTTTATAAATACTATTCAGTGATAAAAAGATTTCATAACTGCATACAAAAAAATGTCTCAACTTTTATCCATGCTTTTCACTTACACGCCAAAATGCAAACATTTTAAAAACTCGTTAGTACGACCCCAATGGGTACTTGTTAAGAGGCAAAAACGTAACAAAAAAGTCAGAATTTCAGTAAATTAATTTTATTTTCGTGTTAAGATGTACTGATTATTTGAAAAAACTTTACTTAAGTCATCTACACTTTGAAAATCTATTGATATTGAAGATGGAACTTCTGGTTATCTTTCCCATGTCTTTTATATGCGATTAAGTTATTTCCCGCGCAGTAATGTTCACCACAGATGTCAATCGCCAAATTTCCCTCAGCACTGACAATAGTGCCGTCTGAATTCACGAACCATTGCTGATTTACTCCACCATGTTTGCAAAACGTGATCACGTTGTGACCGCTCTTGACTCCCCCTTCTATGTCTAGTACATTTCTGTAAACGTAAAAATTGGTACCATCGAAGCGCATAACTTATGGATTATAGATGTACTTACCCATTGCCCTTATTCACAATATAGAATGTTCCGGGCGCTGCATTTTCCAGTTTCCACAGTTGTGCCGGAAATCCGGTGAAGTGCTGGATTTTTAACACATGTTCGCTTGCATCTAAAACCATGCCACTTTTTTGGTTTCTAATAACGGCGTATTTGTCGTGATCGTGATCGTGGTGGCAGTGGCTCATGATGGCGTCAGGTAGTACCGAATAATCAAGGTGTGAAGAGCAAGAGAAGAGCTTTTATGGCGAAGATAAGATAAGTACTATCGCAGAAGTCGTCATGGTAGTTTGATTTCTTTTAGAGAGTAATAATATCTCTGGACAATAACTAACTTTTAAATGGTGTGTTGTTCTTTATTCATTTACATTTGTACAGTACTTAAAAAGACAGACATATTATTAAATTTTATTTTGTATTTTATTAGATATACCAGGGCCATACGTCTCCAGCGCAAACTGATGATGGGCTGTTCCATTGTTTTTCCATGCAATTATAGTTTTTCCTGCTTCATATGTACCGTCCACGCTGCCGAGAACCAAATCTTTCTGTGCACTGACTATGGTATCGTCAAAATTAACGTACCATCTTTGATTTATACCTCCATGTTTTCTAAACGTAGTGATGTCGTTTCCGGCAGAAGCACCATATTTTATATCTAGTACTTTGCTGTGAAACCATAGAATTAAAAAGATGTATCATCAGAGTTGTTTACTTACCCATTGTCCTTATTAGTAATAGTAACTGTTGGTGGTGTGGCACATTCCAATGTCCAGAACTGTGTTGTGTCATCATTAAAAAGTTGGAGTTGTACTAGACCGTTTTCGCCTAGTCCCAAAACTAATCGTGATGTCTGATGTCTTATTATATACAACTTTTCGTCAGCGCTGTAACTTGTGTAAAAGGTACAAAAGAGGCAAAACAAGAGTACAAATGAATAAGACATCGTTCTAACTTTTACATTTAATTATTATTCGCAAAAATCGTTTCCTTTAAATTTATACCAAACATTATCTCACTGAACTTTTTCAGCAGGTCAAAGGGGTGATAATTTTATTTTATAAGATAGTCACAGGCGAATCACTCCTTATCCTTATAGAGAGAAAATAGTTAAAGTTTCGACTCGATTAAATTAATGGCATCATCTAAACTTCTTTAATGTTAATAACTTCGTTTGAAAAAGTCATTAGTTGGTGTTGCTTTTTTGACAGGAGGAGACGCAGCTAAAAATGTATGTGTTTTAATAATCCATATTGTTGTATACAACCGACATTTCTGCGTTGTCAGCTAGATTAAATTTTAGGTTTATTTTCGACATAGTTCACAATGTTTACAAAAGTCAAGGTCAATTTGTTGACTTTTTCAATTGAATACCCGAAATTTTGTTTGTATATATTTTAAAAGAGATAACAAAAAATAAACAAAGGTCTATCAGATACTTTAAGAAACAATAAAGCACACAAAACGATCAAATTTCTCCAAAAGGCTACGACTTTTTACTAATTGTCATGACCAGTAGGCGGAAATTTATCTTACGGATGCAATTCCCCAGTTGAAGCAAGGTGTGTTTTACGGCGAGTAGCGGGGACGCTTTGATCTGGTCCACAAGGTCGTAGCCAGTGCGTCGCTAGGAGTGTTTACAGCTTGTTAAAAAACTACTTCTATATTACTATATTACTTAAAAAAATAATACTTGATGCCCTTTTTAATTTTTCAAACACAGGACCACTGATTTGTGATCTTGAAATGTTATATTATGTTGATATAGTCCAAAATAAAAATATATTTGTAATCAAACTATCGCCGCGACAGCACTGGATCTAGCGTATGAAACACAATTCCGCCCGTTGGTCATGACTGACCTGAAAAATTGCATACTTCTTTGAAAACATTTGAATTTATTATCAAGAAATTTGTATTTTTTAAATTTTTATTGAAAAAATATTACTAACTTTGTTATGGATAGTAGAATTAGTTTCACTTTCATCCATCGAATAAAATGAAACTATTTTAAGCGGTATTGGAATTTGAAAAAAAAAACTGAAATATTGTGTCATAGCACTTTGTAGTATGTAGTCTTAAAAAGTGTAGGTACTCGATGATTAAAAATGTATATAATCCTATGTAATTGGATGCTCATGGATTTACTGACTTACTCAAAAAATTGTTTTAATTGTTGCAGACTTGTTATAGTTCTTGGTACTTCTGCTATTTCTTGGTATTTTTCTTTAAAACATAATTCTTCGGATTAGCAACCGGAGCTAGCCCAAAATACAAAAATAAAAAAAAATCCACATGATACTTTTCCGACTGATAACTGATTTTATATTTTTTGATTTGCTCCTACAATAAGTAGAATACGAGAATGTAGATTTATCGTTTCCTAGCAATTTATTGAAAAAACAACTTCGAATACAGTCACCCCTATTAACTTGAAAATGTAAATGTACGTAAAAAACGGAAAACGTAACAGAAAAAACTCAGATTTTGGGCAAGTTAATTTTATTTTTCGTTTAAAAATGCAATGAGTGTTGTAAAAAAAAAATAATGAAGCCTACGGATATTCAAATCGGAACTTCTGGTTGTCTTTCCCATGTTTCTGGTGTGGTGGTGCTGGATTTTTAACACATGCTCGCTTGCATCTAAAACCAAGCAACTTTTTTGGTTTCTAATAACGGCGTACTTGTCGTGATCGTCAGGTAGTACCGAATAATCAAGGTGTGAAGAGCAAGAGAAGAGCTTTGATATTGAAGATAAGATAAGTACTATCGCAGAAATCGTCAATTTTATGGTACTTTGATTTCTATTAGAGAAAATTTCCGGTGAATAATATGTTGTGTGTATAATGTGTTTTGTGTTTGTGTTATATTGGCGAGTTTTTCTATAATTACTGAATAGTGTGAAAAAACGAGCACTGTGGAGCTAGCGGGCGAGCAGTACTTAGAAAGAAACACATATTATTAAACTTTATTTTAAATGTAATTTAAGCTTTATTAGATATACGAGGACCATACGTCTCCAACACAAACTGATCATGGGCTGTTCCATTGTTGGTCCATGCAATTATAGTTTTTCCTGCTTTATATGTACCGTCCGCGCTGCTGAGAACCAAATTTTTCTGTGCACTGACTATGGTATCGTCAAAATTAACGTACCATCTTTGATTTATACCTCCATGTTTTATATGGTACGTACTGATGTTTCTTCCGGGAGAAGGATCATAGCTTATATCTAGTAATTTGCTGTGGAACCACAGAAATAAACATATGTAGTTTCAAAATTGTTTACTTACCCATTGCCTTTGTTAGTAATAGTAACTGTTGGGGGAATGGCACACCCCAGCATCCATGACTGTGTTTTCTTACCAGCAAAATATTGGAGTTGTACTAGACCGTTGTTGTCTAGTCCCAAAACTAATCGTGTTGTTTTGTGTCTTATCAGATACAGCTTTCCGTCAGCGATGTAACTTGTGTAAAAGGTACAGAAAAGGCAAAATAAGAGTACAAATGAATAAGACATCGTTTTAGATTTGACAGTGTTTATTCGCAGAAATGGGTTCTTTTAAATTTATATCAAACATTATCTCGCTGAACTTGTTCAGTAGGTCAAAGGAGTGATAATTTTTAATTTATACTATAATCATAGGCAAATCACTGCTTTGATATATTATATTTATTATCTAGAAGAATAGTTAAGATTTCGACTTGATTAAAATAATGACCTACATTTCTTTAATGTTAAATTTAACAGGTGTTCAGTTGAAAAAGTCATCAGTTGGTGTTGCTTTTTTGACAAAAGGAGAGAAAAATGCACGTGTTTTATTAGTCATAGATTAAATTTTAGGTTTATTGTAGACATAGCTTACAATGTTTGCAAAAATCAGTTCGATGACTTTTTCAATTGAATATCCAATATTTTATTTGTATGTATTTTAAAAGAGATAACAAAAATAAACATAAACCTATCAGTTATTTTAAGATACAATAAAGCACACAAAACGATCAAATTTGTCCAACGATTTCAAATGATTGGCAATTTTACTGTGATGAGTGAGGTGAAAAATTCCATAATTATTTGAAAACATTCGAAATTATTATCAATAAACTTGCATTTTTAAAATTTTTATTGAACAAATATTACTAACTTTGTTATGGATAGTAGGTTCATTTTCAACCATCGAATAAAAAGAGACTATTTTAAACGGTATTGGAATTTAAAAAAGTTTATGTTTCCGTGTGTTATTGTGTGTGATTTAAAAAAATAAATTTAAAAACCACCCCTTTTTGAAGTGTGCATGTTACGCTACTGACTGGCAGTCTGTTGTTAGATTCTGATGACTCACCATATTGAACTTACAATAATCCATCTCTAACAACCCTTGTCCTTCAACACTAGGTAATAGTAATCTGACGCTCAAGTGTTTATTTATGTTTATACATCGAACGAATGTCACGTAGAAATTATATAAAGACGTGCATATTCTTGACATTTTCGAGAAAATGGAGTGACTTGTTCTTAATTTGACCAATAAAAAATTTGAGACGACGTCATCAATATGGTTAATACTAGTCACAGCACAAAAGAAAAGTAGTTTCAGAGTATTACCAACGCAAGAAAAAACAAGAACACGTATATCAAATTGGATTGGTGCAATGTAATACTAAAAATAAGAGTATTGTATTCTCAAAAGTAATTGACCCATTCATTAATTTTTTTGAGCCACTTGTTTAAACAAATCTAAAAAATATGAATGCAGTGATAAATCACAAGTAAAAACTTATCATATTTTGCACATTTTGGGCAGAATTTATTCGGCAAAATTTTGAGATGTCGTCATCAATTTTTTGGGGAATAAACAGATGTATTTTGATTAACAATTTACCATGCTCACAATAACTTTAAAACGGCTGCAAAATTTCAAAGTATTCAGTTTTGCAATTCTTGATTTATTCAATAAAATAAATTGACTGATTCATTAATTTTTTTGAGTTACTCTGTATAAGCAAATCTAAAAAATATTAAAGCAGGAACAAATCACTAGCATACAGTCATCATATTTTGCTCATTTAAGATAGGATTTATTCAGCAATATTTTGAGGCGACGTCATCAGTTTTTTGGGGGGGATGAGCAAGTAGATCAATTGGCGCTCAACTTCATTAGTCTGAAATTTTAAATGGATCTAAAAAAATTGAAAATAGCAAGAAAAAAAATCTGAATTTATGTAAATTATTTTATTTTTCGTATTAAAATGTACTGATTTCTTATAATAAATGTTTTATTTGAAAAAACTTTCCTCAATTATTCATCTGCACTTTGAAAAACTATTGATATTGAAAATGGAACTGCTGGTTAATTGCCCCATGTCTCGTATGTGCTATTAGCTTATTCCCTGGTGGGTACTTTCCTTCAAAGATGTCAATCGCCAAATTTCCTTCGGCACTGACGATGGTGTCATCTGAATTCACAAACCACTGCTGAGTAACCCCACCATTTTTGCAAAACGTGATCACGTTGTTACCGCTCTTGATCCCCCCTTCTATGTCTATTACTTTTCTATAAACGTAAGAATTAGTACCATCATAGCGTATAACTTATGGACGTACTTACCCATTTCCTTTATTCACAATATAGAATGTTCCGGGCGCTGCATTTTCAAATTTCCACAGTTGTGCCGCAAATCCGGTGAAGTGCTGGATTTTTAACACATGTTCGCTAGCATCTAAAACCAAGCCACTCGTTTGGTTTCTAATAACGGCGTACTTGTCGTGATCGTGATCGTGGTGGCAGTGGCTCATGATGGCGGCTTGCAGTACTGAGTAATCAAGGTGTGGAGGGCAAGAGAAGAGCTTTTATGCAGAAGATAAGATAAGTACTATCGCAGAAGTCGTCAATTTTATGCTAGTTTGATTTCTGTTAGAGAAAATTTCCTATTATATATACCATAATTACTGTTTCATTCCTAACTGTAAATAATATTGTTACGAACTGTAGATATTGTTGATATTGGGCCGTCGAGAGCTTTCTGAGGTATGGGTGAGTCATCATCATCCGTGATGTGGCCGAAGGGCGTTCCATACCGTCGGGAACGATTATTATTCAGCCTATCCAGTCAAATTGCGCCGGGATTATTTTGTACATAATCGCTGTGTACTCAGTCGTATAATTCGAGTTATTAAGAAACAAATTATTGAATTTTACCCACGTCGATTTTATTCACCGATCAACGTAACAATATGAAAAAGCCAGTACTATGGAGCTAGCGGGTGAATTTAAATTAACCAAAAACAGTACTTTAAAACATGCACGTATATTTTAAATGTAATTTAAATTTCATTAGATATAGGAGGGCTATAGGTCTCCAGCACAAACTGATGATGGGCTGTTCCATTGTTGGTCCATGCAATTATAGTTTTTCCTGCTTTATATGTACCATCCTCGCTGCCGAGAACTAAAGCTGTTTCTGCACTGACTATAGTAGCGTCAAAATTAACGTACCACCTTTGATTTGTACCTCCATATTTTGTATACGAACTGATATTTCTTCCTGCCTCCGCACCGGAGTTTATGTCAAGGACTTCGCTGCGAAACCATAGAATTAAAAAGATGTATCGTCAGAGTTGTGTACTTACCCGTTGTTCTTATTGACAACAAAAACCGTTGGTGGTGTGGCACATTCCAATGTCCAGAACTGTGATGTGTCACCATTAAAAAGTTGGAGTTGTACTAGATCGTTTTCGTCTAGTCCCAAAACTAATCGTGATGGCTGATGTCTTATTAGATACAACTTTTCGTCAGCACTGTAACTTGTGTAAAAGGTACAAAAGAGGCACAACAAGAACACAAATGAATAAGACATCATTCTAGGTTTTACATTTAATTATTCGCAAAAATCGTTTCCTTTAAATTTATATCAAACATTATCTCGATGAACTTGTTCAGTAGGTCAACGGGGTGAAAATTTTATTTTATAACATAATCACAGGCGAATCACTCCTTATCGTCATAGAGAGAAAAGTTAAAATTTCGACTCGATTAAAATAATGGGATAAATTAAAATGAATGTGTTTTATTAATCCATATTGTTGTACATAACCGACATTTCTGCATTGTCAGCAGTCGTAGATTAAATTTTAGGTTTATTGTCGATATAGTGCACAATGTTTAAAAAAATGAAGGTCAATTTGTTGACTTTTTCAATTGAACACCCGATATTTTATTTGTATATAGTTTAAAAAAGATAATAAAAATAAACATAAATCTATCAGATATTTTAAGACACAATCAGGCACACAGAACGATCGACTTGTCCAACGACTTCAAATGATTGACAATTTTACTGATAATGATGAGTGAGATGAAAAATTGCATAATTATTTGAAAACGTTTGAAATTAGTATCAACAAATTTGTATTTTTAAAATTTTTATTGAACCAATATCACTAGCTGTGTTATGGATAGAAGGTTCAGCTTCAGCCATCGAATAAAATGAAACTACATATTTTAAACAGTATTGGAATAGTAGGTATATACAACCGAAATAATTGTCTATTGTTGGTTGCAAATTATTATTATTACATAATAGTATGTAGTAGGTACTATATAATGTGTGGGTACTCGATGATTACAAATTTATATAATGGGAATCGCATACTGAGCTAGCCCAAAATACAAAAATTAAAAAAACCCACAGAAAAAAAGTCAGAATTTAGATCATTTAATTTTATTCTTCGTTTAAAAATGCAATAAATGTTGTATGTGAAACAAAAATTATTTAATGAAGACTACTGATATTCAATTCGGAACTTCTGGTTGTCTCCCCCATGTTTCTCCCACGCTATTACATTGGTGCCCGGTTGCTGATTTCCGCCAGAAATATCAAGCGCCAAATTTCCTTTAATACTGACGATGGTGTTATCCGAATTCACATACCATTGCTGATTTGCTCCGCCAAAATTGGGAAAGGTGATCAGGTTGTGGCCGCTTTCTAGTGATCCCTGTATGTCTAGGACTTTTCTGTGTATGCAAAAATTAGTGACACCACAACGTATAGCTTAAGACGCACTCACCCATTGCTCTGATTCACAAAAAAGAAGGTCCCGAGGTACGCATTTTCCAGTTTCCATCGTTGTGCTGGAAGTCCAGTGAAGCGCTCAACTTTTACCTCATAATCACTTGCATCCAAAACCAAGTCACTTGTTTGGCTTCTAATAACGGCGTACTCGTCGTGATCGCTGTCCCTCATGGTGCCGAAAAGTCGTACCGAATAATAAATGCGAAAAGTGTGAGAGAAGAGTTTTTATGCTGAAGATAAGATAAGTAATATCGCGGAAATCATCAGTTTCCTTCCAGTTTCGATTGCGAGAAATTGTCCGGTTAATACTACCGTAAATAGTCTGTAAGTACTTATTTTGTCGAAAGATTAAAAAAATCTTACTTAAATAGTTTTCGGAAAGAACGAGTACTTATAATTTAAATTCCCCTTAATGGACTTCACAACTAGTTTTTTCTGGTTTATAGCTACTGAAAACCAAATTTCTCCATCCATGTTTTCAGTACGTACTGATGTTAGAAGAAGTACCAAAAACTTATTCTGTGGAACCACAGGTTTTCCCGACGTTTCATAATTTCTAAAGCAGATCAACAATCTAATCAAGTCATTTCCAAATTTTGCAAAATAAATAATATCAAAATTTTACAAAATAATACACCTGTGGTTTATGAATCGGCTATTCAGATACGGGGGACGTTTGGTCTAAATAACTAGATCAATTTTTTTGGAGAGCAATCTCAATGGACGTAAAAAATAAAAAATAGCAACAAAAAAGTCTGAATTTCGGTAGATTAATTTTATTTTTCATATACCACGTCATTTTTTGGGTTTCTAATAACCATGTATTTGTTGTGGTCAGGAGGTTGTAGAGGGAGATGTCGAGGGGCTTGTTCATCGTAACAAAAAAGTCTGAATTTGCGTAAATTACTTTTATTTTTATTCTTAGAATGTACTGATTTCTTACAGAAAATGTTTTATTTGAAAGGCTTTACTCAATTATTCATCTGCGCTTTGAAAAACTATTGATATTGAAAATGGAACTGCTGGTTAACTGCCCCATGTCTCGTATATGCTATTATCTTATTCCCTGCGGAGAACTGTGCCCATGATGGCGGCAGGTAGTACCGAATAATCAGGCAAGAGAAGAGCTTTTATGTTGAAGTTAAGATAAGTACTTTCGCAAACGTCGTAAATTTTATGGTGGTTTGATTTCTTTCAGAGAATATTTCCATTGAGTAATATCTCTGAACTATTTTATAAGCGATGTGTTGTTTTTTGTTCATTTACGTGGTTTTACATAAGTAAATGAAGTTTGAAGAAAACAGTTTTATAGTTAAAATTTCGTCTCGATTAAAATGTTTCCGCGTTGTTAGCCGTCATCGATTAAAGTAGATTTGGTGCACTTAAATGTTTATAAAAATGAAGGCCAATTTGTTAACATTTCCAACCGAATACTCGATATTTTATTTTTATATATTATAAAAGTGATAACAGAAATAAACATTAACCTATCAGATATTTTAAGGCTAATAAAGCAACAAAAGGATCAAATTTTTAAAAGATACTCCGACTTCAAATGATTGACAATTTTACTGATAATGATAAGTGAGCTGAAAAATTGCAAAATTATTTGAAAATATTTGAAACTATTATTAACAAATTTATATTTTAGAAAATTTTTTTGAACAAATATTACTAACTTTTTTGTTTTGTTTGTTCTGGATAGTAAGTTCATTTTCAGCTATCGAATAAAATAAAACAATTGTGGTGACCGGATTGGAATCAAATTTTCGCGCTGAATTTAATTAACCGCGACACGAAATCACATTTTAATAATTTGAATTTGAGGAAAAAAAAATTGGTCTAAAGAGTTTGGACAGTACTTCCCTCGCTGTGGGAAACTTGACGACTGCATGCCTATTGTGTTTTTTTTCTCATTACATTTTTGTAGTGGGAATTTAAAAAAAAAAATTGCGATGACGTCATCAACATTTTTGCAAGGACACGTATATCAGTTGGGATAGATGTAGTGTAATACTAAGAATAAAATTATTATATTCTCAAATTTTCGGGAAAATGAATTGGGTCGTTTTGAATATTGATTTGTAATAATCAATAAAATAACGAAACAATTTACTCACGTATACGTATCAGAGGCAACTGAAAATCGTGTATGTATAAACATTCTTAATTTAAGATGACAGGCGTAACAGCATACGTGAGAGTCAAACAGAGAAACTGTAAACAAAACGACCATCGGTTTTATTGCTTCGACTTCCGCTTATTATATAAAACATTGGCTTTTATTTTAATTCTTGACGGTGAAATTCACAATTGGTTGATTATAAACATGTCTATTTCACATTCGCGGAATCAAGTGAACGCATAAAACAAATGCAGGTCTGTAATGTTAAAGTCGATGTAAATAAGCGTGCTACCCTTATGTTTCAACCGAGTTTTTCCTTTAACAAATTTTGTGTCTACCAAATTGGGTTGGTTGGGGTGTAATACTAATAATAAGTGTTGCCTTTAATTTAATCAATAAAATAAATTGACTTCATTAATTTTTTTGAACCACCTCTTAAGAAAATCTAAAAAATATGAATGGAATGATAAATCACAAGTACAAACTCATCATATTTTTTGCATTTTAGATAGGATTTATTCAGCAAAATTTAAGGGTGACGTCATCAATTTTTTTAGGAGGGATGAACAAATACATTTTGAACAAAAGTTTACCATGCTTATAATAACTTAAAATATTCCCAAGATTTCAAAGCATTCGGTTTTGTAATTCCTGATTAAATCGATAAAATAAATTCACGCCTTCATTAATTTTTTTGAGTCACCCTGCATATGCAAATCCAAAAATATGAATGGAATGATAAATCACAAGTACAGACTCATCATATTTTGTACATTTTAGATACGATTTATTTGGCAAACTTTTGAGCTGACGTCATCAGTTTTTTGTAGAAGATAACCAAATATATTTTGACTAAAAATTTATTATGCTCTTTATAACCTTAAAACATCTGCAAGATTTCAAAGCATTCGGTTTTGTAGTTCCTGATTAAATCAATAAAATAAATTTACGCATTCATTAATTTTTTTGAGTCACCCTGTATATGCAAATCGAAAAAATTTGAATTTAATGATAAATCACAAGAAGAGACTCACCATATTTTGTACATTTTAGATAGGATTTATTCAGCAAAATTTTGTGGTGACGTCATAAATTTTTTAGGGAGGACGACCAAATACGTTTTGATCAAAAATTTACCATGCTTATGATAATTTTAAAATATCTTCAAGATTTCGAAGCATTCGGTTTTGTAGTTCCTGAGTAAATCAGTAAAATGAATTTACGCTTTCATTTATTTTCTTGAATCACCCTGTATATGCAAATCCAAAAAATATGAATGGAGTGATAGATCACAAGTACAGACTGATCATATTTTGTACATTTTAGATATGATTTATTCGGCAAATTTTCGAGCTGACGTCATCAAGTTTTTGGAGGGGATAAGCAAATATATTTTGACTAAACATTTATTATGCTCTTTATAACCTTAAAACATCTGCAAGATGTCAGAGCATTCCGTTTTGTAGTTCCTGATTAAATCAATAAAATATATTTACGCATTCATTAATTTTTTTGAGTCACTCTGTATATGCAAATCCAAAAAATATGAATGGAGTGATAAATGACAAGTACAGGCTCATCACATTTTGTACATTTTAGATATGATTTATTCGGCAAACTTTGGAGCTGACGTCATCAAGTTTTTGGAGGGGATAAGCAAATATATTTTGACTAAACATTTATTATGCTCTTTATGACCTTAAAACATCTGCAAGATTTCAGAGCATTCGGTTTTGTAGTTCCTGATTAAATCAATAAAATATATTTACGCATTCATTAATTTTTTTGAGTCACCCTGTATATGCAAATCTAAAAAATATGAATGGAGTGATAGATCACAAGTACCAGACTCATCATATTTTGTACATTTTAGATATGATTTATTCCACAAACTTTTGAGCTGACGTCATCAAGTTTTTGGAGGGGATAAGCAAATATTTTTTGACTAAAGATTTATGATGCTCTTTATAGCCTTAAAACATCTGCAATATTTCAAAGCATTCTGGTTAGCAGATTAAAAATTAAATTTCAAAATGTTGTTTTATAATTTTGATTTTTTTTCCAAAAATCTGGACGTTTCGGGTGAAAAGTCGATTCAGAGTTGTAAACTACATGTGTAGGACTATGTTATTTTATACAATTGAAAACCCATTTACTATGTACAATTTTGAAGTGACGTCATCGCATTAGTGGTGGGGATGATTAGACAAATTTTGGTTAGCGTTTTACCATCTACATGATATTCTTAATATAAGTACAAAATTTCACAACAATCGGTCGAGTACTTTCGGAGATTATCTCTCTAATAAAAATCCGGGACGGCAGACGGACAGACGGACAGACGGACGGACAGACGGACAGACGGACAGACAGACGGAAATGGGAGACCTATTTCTTCGTCTTCTATGGGTCATCAAAGATCGAGAAAACGTAAAAGTAGAGAGTCGGCCGACGGACTCATTACTTGTTGATTCGGTGTAGTGGATGCATGATGAAAAGACGCTGTAAGTTGGCTGGGTTGAATTCACAGTTCACGTTAGGAGTTTAATCGTCAACTATTGCTAACACAATTTAACGATCAGGATTATTTAAATAAGAGTTAAGTTAAGATAATTTCTTCTTTTAGCGGTTATCATCGTTATCAAAATTACATCACCGAGGCACTTCCTCGCAACGCTAAAATTTACATCACCGAGACGCTTTTTCCTCGTAACGATGACTGGATATTTTTGTGTTTATTTATGATGTGTTTTGTTGGGGTAACTAGTCCACGATAAACTCTCAAAGTTAATTATTTTCAGTAACCAATCACTTGGATCAAGACATAATTTAACATAATGTAAATTCTTCGTTTGAATCGTTGATAAATTGGGGCAAATATTAATCTCATGTAAATTTTGTTAGCTTTGCAATTTTTCACCTCGTACAATTTTGCTCTATATCACAATTTTAACCTCAGTAAATTTCTTTGTTGTATAATTTTAATTGAAGGTAAATTTCATGTTCTACAGTTTTAACCTCACGTAATATTTTTATTCGCACAAGTTTATTTCACACCAGATCTTTTGTTTTCATAAATCTTTGCTAGTTTTTTTTTATGTTAATAATTTGTTGATGAATGTTTCCATCGTATAAATTATCTAATGGCCAATTTTAATCTCACATAAGAATTATTTGTTGTTTAAAATTTCACAAGATTGTATGGCGAATTTAAATGTTTTTTATTGCTCTTTTTGAAACTTTAAGACTTGTTCAGTTGTCGTTAATATCAGAGTCATAAGAAATTGAATATTTAAAATGGAATTGAGGTAAATAACTCCGAAACACGTAGCAGAAGCGATGGGCGTGGTTCCTAGTCGGGATTTATCGCGCCATCTGCGCAAAGGATGCAGGCTTTGTACAGAGTCAGGGGAACGGTCTGGACGACGTGACGCTGTCAGTTTATTTATAGCCGTTTCTTCCAATCACTAGTTTTCGACCGTAGCCTGGTTAGCGCGGTACGTCTCTTCGATAGATAGAATCACCGTCGCGGGGGAGAACAGCCCTGACCCGGAGCCCCAAACTCCCTACTCGCACGCAGTGTATGCTCACTTGTATGAAAGAACGCCTTCCCGCCATTAAAAAAAAACACACAACGTAGGTTCTCTTTTTGTCAGATGATCACAGCCAAGGCCAAATTTTGAATTTTTGAATTTTTTGCAGGCCTTTCAAATTTTTTCAAGTGGCAATTTAAGGCGGGAAGTTTGGGTTATCAAAGAATTAGAAAAAAAGCTAAAATATTGTGCTTATCAAATCCTTAAATACATAGATATATGTATAGTGTAAACATACGAAATATTGTATTGTTGATTGCATACCACATAGCAGTATGTAGTATGTACGTAGTCTTATAAAGTGTAGGTACTCGATGATTAAAAATTTATATAAACTTATATAATTGGGTGTTTATGGATTTACTGACTTGCTAAAAAAATTACCTTAATTGTTATGCAGACTTCTTATAGTTCCTGGTACTTCTATTTCTTGTTCCTGAGCTAGTCCAAAACACAAAAATTAAAAAATACTGCTCCGACGGCTCATTGTATTTTTTTGATTTGCTACTACAATGAGCAGAATAATTTGTTCAAAAAACAACTTCGAAGACCATGAACATTATTAACTTGAAAATTTAAATGTACATAAAAAACGAAAAACGTAACAGAAGAATTCAGAGTTTAATTTTATTTTTCCTCTAAAAATGCATTAAATGTTGTACGTGAAACAAAAATTATTTAATGAAAACTACTGATATTCAATTCGGAACTTCTGGTTGTCTCCCCCATGTTTCTCCCACGCTATTACATTGGTCCCCGGTTGCTGATTTCCGCCAGAAATATCAAGCGCCAAATTTCCTTTAATACTGACGATGGTGTTATCCGAATTCACGTACCATTGCTGATTTGCTCCGCCAAAATTGGGAAAGGTGATCAGGTTGTGGCCGCTTTCTAGTGATCCCTGAATGTCTAGGACTTTTCTGCGTATGCAAAAATTACTGACACCACAGCGTATAGCTTAAGACGTACTCACCCATTGCTCTGATTCACAAAAAAGAAGGTCCCGAGGTACGCATTTTCCAGTTTCCATCGTTGTGCTGGAAGTCCAGTGAAGCGCTCGACTTTTACCTCATAATCACTTGCATCCAAAACCAAGTCACTTGTTTGGCTTCTAATAACGGCGTACTCGTCGTGATCGCTGTCGCTCATGGTGCCGAAAAGTCGTACCGAATAATAAATGCGAAAAGTGTGAGAGAAGAGATTTTATGTTGAAGATAAGATAAGTAATATCGCGCAAATCATCAGTTTCCTTGCAGTTTCGATTGCGGGAAATCGTCCGGCTAATACCACCGTAAATAATCTGTAAGTACTTATTTTTGTGGAAAGATTAAAAAGATCTTGCTTAAATACTTTTCGGAAAGAACGAGTACTTATAATTTAAATTTCCCTTGATGGACTACACAACTAGTTTTTTCTGGTTTATAGCTACTGAAAACTAAATTTCTCCATACATCTTTTCGGTACGTACTGATATTAGAAGAAGTACCATAAGCTTATTCTGTGGAACCACAGGTTTTCTCGACGTTTCGTAGACTCTAAAGCAGATCAACAATCTAATCAAGTCATTTCAAAATTTTGCAAAATAAATAGTGTCTAAATTTTACAAAATAATACACCTGTGGGTTATGAATCGGCTATTCATATACGGGGGACGTTTTGTCTAAATAACTAGATCAATTTCTTTGGAGAGCAACCACAATGGACGTAAAAAATAGAAAATAGCAACAAAAAAGTCTGAATTTCGGTAGATTAATTTTATTTTTCATCTACAGATACATAATTCGTTACAATAAAACGATATTTAATGGCAAATGCTCCTTGGAAAACTAGTGATATTGAAGACTGAACACCTGGTTAGCGTTCCCATGTTTCGTCCACGCTATGATGTTAGTCCCCGGAGACAATTTTCCCCCAGAAATATCAAGCGCTAAGTTTCCTTCAGCACTGACGATGGTGTTGTCCGAATTCACAAACCATTGTTGGTTAACTGCACCATGGTTTCCAAACGTGATCAGTTTGTTGCCTTCTTTGATTCCGCCTTGTATGTCTAGCACTTTTCTGTGTACGTAAATTATAAAAATTAGTATCACGAGAGAGAGTAAATTATGGATGGACTTACCCATTGCCCTGATTCACAAAATAGAACGTTCCAACCTTTGTATTTTCCAATTTCCACTGTTGTCCTGCATGTCCATTGAAAGCCTGGAGTTTTACCTCGTCTTCGTCGGCATCCAAAACCAAGTCACTTTCTGGGTTTCTTATAACGATGTATTTGTTGTGGTGAGGGGGTTGGAGAGGGGGTTGTTCAGGGGGTTGCACATCGGGCTGCTCAGGGGGCTGCTCAGGGGTTTGCTCAGGCGGTTGGTAAGGTGGACAGTGGGGAGGATGGTGAGGGGGATGATGAGGAGGATGGTGAGGGGGGTGGCAAGGGGGGTGATGAGGGCGATGGTGATGGTGGCGCCAGTGGCTCATGATGCCGGTAGGTAACGCAGAATAATAATGGAGCAGAGAAAAACAGATGAGTTTTTATATTGAAGATAAGATAAGTAATATCGCAGAAATCGTCAATTTCATTGCAGTTTCGATTTCGAATGAAATTATATTTTAGAAAAGTTATCCCGATATTACTAAAGTAAACAACAAATTATACTTATTTTGAAGTTTGTTTTTTGAAGGTCAGATAGTCGCTTGCGTCTAAAACCAACCTACTGATACTGATTTATATAATTTACAAAGATAAATAAATGTTATTTTGTTGCTACATGTGATAAAATAAAGGTCAGTAAATACAGTAAATACACAATAATAAAGGTGTGAACAAAATGAAAGTTTTTACTTTGCAAATAAGATAATGTTAGCGAATTTGTAAATTTGCGTAAAGTTATGTTGACTGTATTTTTTTAAAGGTATCTCGTTTGTTAGGTACTTAAGACCGGGCTAAAATAAACAAAAAATATCCATAATTAATTAATAACGCTACGTTTCGTCCAATTTGACAAATAGTTCCCTGATGGATTAATTTTTCCCTGTTGTGTCGCTAATTTCTAGTGAGATTAAGATTATAACTGATAATTCCTTAGAAATGCAACATGATTTATTTTATCAATTTCCGCAAACAAGGTTAATACAATTTTTTCTGGAAACTTTTTTTTCATGCAAACACCAATAATTTCTCAAGAAACTCCACTCCTTGCTTATTACTCCTTTATTTATTACAATATATACAAATAATCTGCACACACACCTCGCATTTACACATTAACTTACACTCAAACGCATCTCCTCTTAAATACAAAACCTAAAATCGCTAAAATACCTGAATCAATAAGTTAAATCTGTACCATTCTCAAAATAAAACCGCCCATGCCGACCGGCACGGCTCGCTAATGACACAATCAATTTTTTTTTATCACAACTCGGTAGCCCATCTGGACCAATACTGCATTCGTGGTAACTAAACATTTGGCACCAGCAAAATGAGCAATGTTATGGCAGTATTTCGGTGCTTCAACGTGATCGAATCTCCAATATCACAAGGCGCAGTGACTTTTGGCCGGTTTCTTCACATCATCGAACCGAACATCCGCTTGCCTCTGGTGAGCATCAGACTCACAGCCATCACGGAGAGGAGGAAGAAGATCAAGCCCAAGAAGGAGGTGAGGAGGCGGCAGCGACAGCGCCACTTTTTGTCCTGTTTCATGCGTTTGCTGAGCAGCTCGGAGCGGGGGACGTCGAGGGTGAAGTCGGCTTCTGGGCGGCCGCCGGGCTGAAGAAATCAGTGTATTAATTAATAACACTTTAATGTTTAGTTGTGGTTAAAAGTAAAAAATTAAGACTCAATGCTATATCAAAATTAATAGGACGCTGATATTGGGTTAGAGATTAAGATTATCGATTGGAAGTCATCCTCTCTAGAGAACTGATAATTTTTTAGAAACGCAACATTATTTATTTTATCAGTTTCCGCAAACAAGGTTAATCCAATTTCTCTGGAAACTTGGAAAACCAGTTGCGTTGTAAACAACGCTACGTATTAAAAGCCATGTTTTTTCCATCAGAACGTTGTTGACTTTAATCTAAAATATTAATAACGATCTTGAAAACTGACCCTGACATGCTTTTCTTCAAATTTTCGCGTTTAAAATATCCGAAGTTTCCGCTTAAGAATCTTGTAGAATTCATTAATTAAATCGAGATAAGATTATTAACATTTCCTTTGATTTTACCTGTTTTTTATTACCACATTTTGCTCTCCATATCTCGGAAAACCTTAACTAAGAATAAACAGAGTGGAAATGTGTGTGTGAAAAAATTAAACTATGATTATTTGAATGTTTTATAAAAACTGGATATTAAGGTTTAATTTTGTTGCTACATTTGTTTATCTGTCGATAAATTGTTGTAGTAAAAGTTATTAAAATTAACCCTATTGCGGTTATTTTCCATAATTCCTTTTTATTAATATTTAAACCTTTCTTGGTTTTCCACGTTTTTAATAACTATGAAACGTTTGAAAATTTTAAATTCTTTGTTAAAATTTTAAAATTTCTTTAAAATGTCAATTTGTTAATATCAATATTTATTTTAAATGGAAACTCAATATTCGGACAATTAAAAATTGTTCTAAAGATTTTTATGAATGTCTTGGTGAAATTGGTGGATGCGCCGGGAGAATTCGTTTCCTCAAGCTGCATTTAATTTACCAATTTATTAAAACATTCATTTAAAATACTAACAAATTAACTGAAGAATTGCTCAATTGTTTAAGAACGTTTTAAATTGCCCTTAATATTTTTTTCTTGTGAATTGGAATTAAGTTAATTTTCAGTCACAGAATAAAACGGTGCTAAAATTTGAAAAAAATGAAATGTTGTCTTGATTAAGTTTTTTGTGTTTCAGAAATATTTTGAAAATTTAAAATTTGCATTCTGTCTGGAACTAAGTGGCCGTTCAGAGCATTTGGAGTTAATTTCGGGGACTGTCGACCGCTGAGTACGTTCAGTAATTATTTCTTCTATTATTGCTTTAGCCCGGATTAAATCATATCATTGTGTTATTTTATTTTAGTAAAAAAGTCAAAAGCAACGTCAAGCTGCATGTTTAATAAAATAAAAAATTAATACCTTCTTGTAAGTATAGTTTTGGAAATTTCATTCTACCCTATAAAATTTTATTAGCGATAACGGGACGCGTAGTATTACAATAGCAAGAGATATTTACAACGTGTAAAGTTGTCGCGTGCCGGTAATCCCCAGATCGTAAAAAGCAGAACAATCCAGGTCCGGACAGGGCCCAACGAAAACCAGCATTATAATATGAATACAACTACCTGCTAAATATTCTCCAACAAATTCGGGTGAACTGGTGTGAGCCATAAACATTTCTTACCACTGCACTATTGTCCGTTACGTTATTGTCAATAAAATTTTATAGGGTAGAAGGAAATTTCCAAAACTATACATATTTTAAATGCTCTCATTTGAATAGTATAGTATAGTTGCATTTAGTAGATTTTGCAATTAGGCTCCGCCCCCCGGTTTGACAACGAATAAAAAAAGTAATCAGAATTGGGATACGGCGGGGGGCGGGGCTTATATTTTGCCTTTTTTTCCTTATTATACATAGCCATCTTTTCGTAACAAGAAACGTGAAACATGGTGAAAATGGTACATTTTTGAAAGGAAATATGGATTTTGCAAGTATGTGATATAATATCCAAAATCGATATTTCCTTATACAAATTTTCCATTTTAAACATGTTTTAAGTTTCATGTTGTGAAAAGAAGTCTACACATCTTAAAACAAAAAAGACAAAATGTAAGCCCGCCCACCCGCCCTTTCTCTATTGTGATGATTTTTTTTATTCGTCGTCAATCAAGAGGGCACAGCTTAACTGCAAAATACTTATTTCTTTACAAGAAATTAAAAGCATGTGTTTGAGTATCGTGTTGTTCAAAGTATACTATGTATACTAAAAAACAAGACAAATATAAACCCCGCCCACCCACCCCATCTCAATTGTGATGATTTTTTTATTCTTAGAAACTTAAAACATGTTTAAAATAGTAAATTTTTGTAGGAAAACATGGATTTTGCAATTAGGCTCCGCCCCTAGGCCTGGCAACGAATAAAAACTTCATTATTAGATAGTCAGATCAGGGCAGGTATGGGTGGGGCTTAATCTTTGGTTTAATTTTATTCTTAATATGCATAGTATTCTTTGAACAACATGATACTCAAAAACATGTCTTGCGTGGTAATTTTTTGTAGAGAAACAATAACGATTTTGCAATTAAATTCCGCTCCTTTTGTTTTCGACGATTAAAAAAAATCATTACATTTGGGACAGGGCGGGTGGGCGGGGCTTATATTTTGCCTTTCTTCTTAATATACGTAGTCATCTTTTCAGAACAAGAAACTTAACTTAGGCTCCGCCCCTCAGTCTGACAACGAATGAAAAATTCATCATAATTGAGCTTTGGATGGATATGTGTGGCGCTTAATTTTTGGCTTGTGTTTTTCTTCATATACATAGTATTCTTTGAACACAACAAAACTCAAAAACATGTTTTGTATTTCTTGCAAAAAATTAAGGATTTTGCAGTTAAGCTCCGCCCGCCTGGCTCACGACGAATAAAAAAATTATCAGAATTGAGATAGGACGGGTGGGCGGGGCTTATATTTTCCCTTTTTTTTTCTTAATATACATAGCCATCTTTTCACAACAAGCAACTTAAAACATGGTTAAAAGGGTACATTTTTGCAAGAAAGTATGAATTTTGCATTAGTACAAATTTTCCATTTTAAACACATTTCAAGTTTCATGTTGTGAAAAGCAATCTACACATATTAAAAGAAAAAGGATAAATGTTAACCCACCCACCCACCCCTTCTCAATTGTGATGATTTTTTTTATTCTTAGAAACCTTAAAAAACACGTTTAAAATGGTAAATTTTTGAAAGGAAATATGGATTTTACAATTAAATTCCTTTCCTTTGGTTCTCAAGGCTTAAAAAAAATCATTACAATCGAGATTGGGTGGGTGGGCGGGGCTTATATTTTTCCTTTTTCTTAATATACCTAGTCGTCTTTTCAGAACAAGAAACTTAAAACATGTTTACAATGGTAAATTTTTGTAAGGAAATATGGATTTTGGAATTAGGCTCCGCCCCTAGATCTGCCAACGAATGAAAATTTCATTAGTGTTAAGATCAGAGCAGGTTTGGGTGGGGCTTAATCTTTGGCTTTAATTATTTCTTAATATACAAAGTATTCTTTGAATAACAATGGTAATTTCTTGTAGATAAATAATAAGAATTTTGCAGTTAAATTCCGAGCCTTTGGATATCCACAAAAAAAAATCATCACAGTTGAGATAGGGCTGGGGGGCGGGGCTTATATTTTGCCTTTTTTTCTTATTATACATAGCCATCTTTTCGTAACAAGGAACGTTACATGGTTAAAATGGTACATTTTTGAAAGGAAATATGGATTTTGCAAGTATGTGATATAATATCCAAAATCGATATTTCCTTATACAAATTTTCCATTTTAAACATGTTTTAAGTTTCATGTTGTGAAAAGAAGTCTACACATCTTAAAACAAAAAAGACAAAATGTAAGCCCGCCCACCCGCCCTTTCTCTATTGTGATGATTTTTTTTATTCGCCGTGAACCAAGAGGGCGGAGCTTAACTGGAAAATCCTTATTTCTTTACAAGAAATTAAAAACATGTTTTTGAGTATCGTGTTGTTCAAAGTATACTATGTATATTAAGAAAAAAAAGCCAAATATAAACCCCGCCCACCCACCCCATCTCCATTGTGATGATTTTTTTATTCTTAGAAACTTAAAACACGTTTAAAATGATACATTTTTGTAGGGGAACATGGATTATGCAATTAGGCTCCGCCCCTAGGCCTGGCAACGAATGAAAACTTTGGTTTAATTTTTTCTTAATATGCATAGTATTCTTTGAACAACATGATACTCAAAAACATGTCTTGCATGGTAATTTTTGTAGAGAAACAATAACGATTTTGCAATTAAATTCCGCTCCTTTTGTTTTCGACGATTAAAAAAAATCATTACATTTGAGACAGGGTGGGTGGGCGGGGCTTATATTTTGCCTTTCTTCTTAATGTACGTAGTGATCTTTTCAGAACAAGAAAGTAAAAAATGTTTATAATGGTAAATTATTGTAGGAAAGTATAGATTTTGCAATTAAGCTCCGCCCCTCGATCTGACGACGAATGAAAAATTCTTCACAATTGAGCTTAGGATGGATATGTGTGGCGCTTAATTTTTGGATTGTTTTTCTTCATATACATAGTATTCTTTGAACAAAACAAAAAAAAAACATGTTTTTTATTTCTTGCAAAAAATAAGGATTTTGCAGTTAAGCTCCGCCCACCTGGCTCACCACGAATAAAAATATTATCAGAATAGAGATAGGGCGGGTGGGCGGGGCTTATATTTTGCCTTTTTTTTTCTTAACATACATAGCCATCTTTTCACAACAAGAAACTTAAAACATGGTTAAAAGTGTACATTTTTGCAAGAAACTATGGATTTTGCAATAGGACAAATTTTTCATTTTAAACATATTTCAAGTTTCATGTTGTGAAAAGAAGTCTACACATATTAAAAGAAAAAGGCAAATTGTGATGTTTTTTTTATTCTTAGAAACCTAAAACACTTTTAAAATGGTAAATTCTTGAAAGGAAATATGGATTTTACAATTAAATTCCGCTCCTTTGGTTCTC